TTAATTCCCTTCTTAATTTTTTCATTGACCTACACTGACCATCCAGGAGGATATTGTTTAATTTCCGTGTGTTTGTATAGTTTCCAGAATTCCTCTTGTAATTGATTTCTGGTTTTATTCCATTGTGATAAAATAAGATACTCGATACAATTTCTTTTTTTTTTTTTTTTTTTGGGGAGAGGAGAGAAAAAATCTCATATTTTTTAAAAAAAATAAGACTTATTTTGTGGCCTAATATACAGTCTATTTTGGGGTATGATCCCTGTGATCTGATTAGGTCCATTTGGTCTGTAGTGCAGATTAAGTCATTTCTTTGTTGGTTTTCTGTCTGGATGATCTGTCCAATGCTGAAAGCGGAGTGTTGAAGTCTCCAGCTATGATTGTACTGGGGTCTGTCTTTCCCTTTAGTTCTGATATTTGCTTTATGTATGTGGATGCTCCAGTGTTGGGTACGTATGTATTTATAATTGTTACATCATCTTGTTGAATTGACTTTTGACCTCCTTTGTCTTTTTATAGTTCTTGTCTTGAAATCTGTTTAGTCTGATTAATTATAGCCACTTCCGCCCTGCTCCTTTTTTTTGATTTCCATTTGCATGGAATATCTTTTTCCATTTCTTTATTTTCATTTGATGTGTGTCTTCATAGGTGAGGTGTGTTTCTTGTAGATCGTTTGGTCTGGTTTTTTAATTCATTCAGCCACTCTGTCTTTTGATTGGAGAGTTTAGTCCATTTACATTCAGTGTTGTTACTGATAAGTAAGGATTTGCTCCTGCCATTTTGTTACTTGTTTTTTGGTTGTTTCGTGGTTGTTTCTTCCCTCCCTCCCTCCTTCTCTCCTTTCCTCCCTCCCTGCCTCCCTCCCTCTTTCCCTCCTTCCTTCCTTCCATCCATCCAGCCATCCATCCATCCATTTTTTAGCGAAGGTGATTTTTCTCTGGTGGTACGTTTTAATTTCTTTTAATTTTTTTGTTTATCTGTTATATGTTGGGCTTGCTTTATGGGGCAATGAAAACATTTGAAAATTGACTGGAGATTGTCATTCAATTCGGTGAATATACCAAAAATTGAATTGTGTACTTTCAATGGGTGAATTGTGTGGTATGTGAATTATTTCTTAATAGTACCATTAAAAATGCCAAAACCTTTCATATGGCAAAAGATACCATAAACCATATTAGAGAAAATCCAGACTTGGATTAATTATGTGTAACATATAATACTGTTAGGCCGGGCGCGGTGGCTCACGCCTGTAATCCCAGCACTTTGGGAGGCAAAGGCGGGTGGATCACGAGGTCAAGAGATTGAGACCATCCTGGTCAACATGGTGAAACACCCTCTCTACTAAAACTACAAAAAATTAGCCGGGCATGGTGGCGCGTGCCTGTAATCCCAGCTACCCGGGAGGCTGAGGCAGGAGAATTGCCTGAACCCAGAAGGCGGAGGTTGCGGTGAGCCAAGATCGCGCCATTGCACTTCACCCTGGGTAACAAGAACGAAACTCCGTCTCAAAAAACAAAACAAAACAAAACATATAAAACTGTTAAAGGCTTCGTCAGGGTGTTCCCAGAAAAAATAAATAAATAAATAATACAATAAAAGTGTTAAAGGCTTCGTCAGGGTGTTCCCAGAAAAAATAAATAAATAAATAAATAATACAATAAAAGTGTTAAAGGCTTAGTACCCGAAATGCAAAAGGAATTTCTAAATATCAATAAGAAATAGACTAACACTGTATTAGTAAATTACTAGAGGATTCAGGCATTTCGCTTAAGAATGGGCCTAAGTGGCTGATTAAAAAAGTGAACAGATACTGTTTCAGGGAGATGCAATTTGAAACAGTAGAGATATAATGTCACATCTGTCTTTTTGGATCAAATTAATATACCTTAGGGGATCAAGTGTTGGCACAAAGCTCATGAAAAGGAGCAGGCTCCTTCATTGCTGGGGAAGTATAAACTGGTTGGTCTCCTTGGAGAGTCGTCTGACAGTATCAAGTTGACAACGGGCCCTACTCTGTGACCTTGTACTAGAGCCACTCTTGTACCCGTCGCGGTGCCCTTTGTGGGTGAAACAGTAACGAACCCAGCTGGGCCCCTCAGACTGGGATAATTCAACCACAGAACTGCATATATACAGCAGTGAGAGTCAGCAAACTAGATCAGCAGAGATCAACACGGATGTCAGAAAAACAGAGTGTTGAGTGACGGTGCCGTGGAAAATGATACATACAGGTACCGTCTCCCCCAGATTTTTACATGCATAACAGTAATTGTATTGATTTGTGTGTACACATAGTACACAAAATGTGCATGGATAGTGGTACTTGCCGACGTAAGAACTGAGTTTGCTTCTGGGGAGCGGGGAAAGGATGCTACTTTCCATCTCAAGTCTCTCTAGTGAGGACAGATGTACACAGCCTGGCTTATTGCAGGTGGTTGGTATTAGTTCTACCCTTTTTTTTCTTTCTTTCTTTCTTTTGAGACTAGGTCTCACTCTGTCAACCAGGCTGAAGTGCAGTGGGATGATCATGACTCACTGCAGCTTTGACCTCCTGGGGGCAAGTGATCCTCCTGCCTCAGCCTCCTGAGTAGCTGGGACGACAGGCATGCACCCTATGCCCGTCTGATTTTTAAATTTTTCATAGAGAGGCTGTCACTATTGCCCAGGCTGGTCTTGAACTCCTGAGCTCAAGCAATCCTCCAGCTCGCTGGGCCTCCCTAAGTGCTGGGATTATAGGCATGAGCCACTGTACCTGGCTGTTGCTGTTGGTTTTTCGGACTGTTGATGCATCTTTTTGTCTCTAAAATTTAAAAGCTGGTACAAATGTTTTTTAAAAATTGTTTTTTGCTAATGTTGTTGCAGTCTTCTCATAGTTTTAAGTGCTCATGTGTGCTAGCTGCTGTTCTAGGGACCAGGGGCCAGGGCTGCAGCTGTGAACAAGAGGAGCAAAATCTCCGCTCTCATGGGGCTCACAAATTCGGGGTAACAGACAATAAACAAGTAGAAAAATAACTGTGCTCTTGGTTGACACTAAACAATATGAAGGAAACAAAGCAGGCTGAAAGTGATCGGGGAAGGCGTGCTCTGAGGAGCTGGCTATTCAGATTTGATTTTTTTTTTTTTTTTTAATTGAGACAGAGTCTTACTCTGTCACTCAGGCTGGAGTGCAGTGGTATGATCTTGGCTCACTACAACCTCCTCCTCCTGGTTTCAAGCGATTCTCCTGCCTCAGCCTCTCAAGTAGCTGGGATTACAGGTGTGCACCATGACACCCGGCTAATTTTTGTATTTTTAGTAGAGATGGGGTTTTGCCATGTTGGCCAGGCTGGCCTCGAACTCATGACCTCAAGTGATCCACCCACCTCAGCCTCCCAAAGTGCTGGGATTACACGCGTAAGCCACCATGCCCAAACATAGACTTGTGTTTTAAGAAGAGAAAGCATGCAGAAATGTTTGGGAAAAGCATCCAGGGAGGTGAAAAAGTCTTCAGCTAGATCGTGGTAAAAAATGGCCAGAAGCATTAAATACTTAGGAATAATCTTAATAAAAGAAGTGCAGCCTTAACACTGTGAAAACAGAAAACACTGTTAAAGAACCTAAATAAATGGAAAGGCATCGCAGGCTATCGGACTAGCAAAGAACATTATTGAGAGAGCAGTACTCCCCAAACCGATCTGCAGATTGGGTGCAATTCCTGTCAGCATCCCAGCTGCTTTCCTCCCAGAAGTTGACCAGACCATCCTGAAGAATACCGAGGCCAGCGTGGCCAGAGCCCAGGACGGAGGAGGAGGAGTAAATGGCAATACAGTCAGGGAGACTGGCAGGGTTTCTGAGTCCTGGAACCCTGTGGGCCATGACAGGGAGCTATTATCACCAGCCTCCTCTAGGTCTAGACTTAGGAGGCTTTTAAGTAGGGCTGGGATGGCCATTAGCCCTGTGGCAGTGAACAAGACAGAACGTTGAATTGAATTCAGCTTTTCAATGGCAGGAAATGAGAGCATCCTCAGTTTCTTTCTGTATGTGTTGTATTTGTGTCATATTACTGACACACCTAAACCTTTTCTTAAGTGATATGGAAGTAACACAATTTATCATAGAATATTTGGAAGATTTGAGGCTGGGTATGGTGACTTACACCTGTAATCCCAAAACTTTAAGGGAGGCTGAGGCAGGAGTATTGCTTAAGGCCAGGAGTTCAAGACCAGCCTGGGCAACATAACAAGACCCCCACATCTCTTAATAAATTAGCAGGGCGTAGTGGTATGTACCTTTAATCCTAGCTACTCGGGAGGTTGAAGTGGGAGAATCACTTTAGCTCAGGGGTTCGGAGCTGCAGTGAGCTATGATCGTACCACTGTACTCCAGCCTGGGTGACAGAGTGAGAAATCCTGGGTTTTTTTTGTTTGCTTCTTTGTTTATTTTTGAGATGGAGTCTCGCTCTGTCGCCCAGGCTGGAGTGCAGTGGCATGATCTCAGCTCACTGCAACCTCTGCCTCCCAGGTTCGAGTGATTCTTCTGCCTCAGCCTCCCAAGTAGCTGGGATTACAGGTCTGTACCACCACACCTAGCTAACTTTTGTATTTTTAGTAGAGATGGGGTTTCACCATGTTGGTCAGGCTGGTCTTGATTTCCTGATCTTGTGATCTGCCCACCTCAGCCTCCCAAAGTGCTGGGATTATAGGCGTGAGCCACTGCACCCTGCCCAGAGACCCTGTTTTTAAAGCAAACAAACAAAAATACCCACAAACAATATTTAGAAGATACAAACTGAAAGAGACAATGTATCTTTCAGGATCCTACCACTTTGAGGTAATGGCAGTTCACCTTTAGTGTTTTTTCCTTCTCATCTTTTCGATGAAGTTATAATCAGACATTTCTAAAATTCAGTAATGAGTGCCCCACCCAGCTCACCCCTCAAGGCCATGAAAAGAAACAAAAGAATCATAGCTTTCCTTTTGGCAAGTCAGTGGATGAGGTTTCTGATGAATTTCTTTCAGGTGGAGCTGATCAGAATAATGTTTAGCATCAATCCCCTGGAGAACCTGAAGGTATACATCAGCAGTCGGCCTCCCCTGGTGGTCTTCATGATCAGCGTGAGCGCCATGGCCATAGCTTTCCTGACCCTGGGCTATTTCTTCAAAATCAAGGAGATTAAATCACCAGAAATGGCGGAGGTACAGTATGTTCTGACTTTTCCCGGGCTGGCTGGTCCTTGAGGAGTAGGGCAACATCCTGTGGCTTGCCATATAGCTTTCTTGGGTTTTGGCCTTTCTCTCCTAGTGAGAAAGGTCAGTATTTATTCAGAATTTTCTGTTTTCCATGTCCCCAGGACTCACTTTGTTAGGAAATACCTAGATAAGTATTGTTCAATTTAAATAATGCTACTGGTTTCATGTAGACTATTTCAGCAGTGAAACACAGATGGATTTTGGAGGGTATGTTTGTAAAATGATCTGTGTCAAAAGCTAGAGAACTCACTTCTTTGATATTCCATCTCAAATGGGTTCATTGCTGTTTTAGCAAACTGAACATCTGGTATTTTGAAGCCACATATCATCATGGAGTTTTATCAGCTGTACTGATGATTTTTTTCATGAGATAAGAAGGAATACTAAAGAAATTGAAAAACAAGATCTAATTTCCAGTTATATTTGTGTGTGGTTTTTTTGAGACAGAGTCTCGCTCTGTCACCCAGTCTGGAGTGCAGTGGTGCAATCTCAGCTCACTGTAACCTCTACCTCCCGGGTTCAAGCCATTGTCCTGCTTCAGCCTCCCAAGTAGTGGGATTATAGGCACTTGCCACCACACCTGGCTAATTTTTGTCTTTTTAGTAGAGGCAGGGTTTTGCTATGTTGGCCAGGCTGGTCTCAAACGCCTGACCTCAGGCGATCTGCCTGCCTTGGCCTCCCAAAGTGCCAGGATTACAGGTGTGAGCCACTGCGCCTGGCCTAATTCTTGTCTTTTAATAGATTCCTCTGGGGCCTTCTCTTGCTCTTTGTTTTTGCAGAGTTTGTTGGTGGTGGAGGTGGGGTGGGACTGGTAGTGCATGGTGGCCGCATTGAGTTTGCCTCTCAAGGAGAGGAGAGGGCTGTTCCTTGTAACTGAGATGGTAGCTTTCTCTTGTGCCCTAGGGCATTCTGGATCTTAGGGGATCTCGGCAGGAGACAGCCTGTACATGTGAGCTCTTTCTAGCACAGTTCATATAACAAGTTTTAACTATTTCTACCAGAGTTTCTTGCTAAGAGACATACTGGTTGGCCTAATTCTCCCTCTTTTCTGATCCTACCTGAATCTTTAAACTGCCCCCACATTGGGGCTGAAAATGAATATTCTATTCAGAACCAAAGCTCTGCTGTTTCTTTCCCACAGAGGTTGAATCCATGTTCAACACTTGGCCAAGGCCAATGGTTACTATGCAGCCTGGATAATTAGCCCTTAATAATCCAAATTAGGCCTGGCATTGGCTTTAGCTGGCTATTCAACGTGGACTCCAGCTGTGTAGGAGCTCATTGCTGAGATGCTGCAGAGCTTTGGTTATGATTAATTTTGTGATTTTTATTTTCACATGAGGATCCTAGGTTGTAGGAAAGCCAGAGGTGTATGGGAAACATTTGGGGCTGTGAATCAGAGCTTAATGCTGATTCTACCTTGAAGTAGAATTGAGAGTCCCTAATTTGCCCTGGGCCTCAGTTTCTTCATGCCTTGGACTATAAAGGACTGAAACTAGAATGTCCATTTTCAACCCTAATGTACTAGAATGGTCAGCTGAGTTTGTAGATGTTAGGGAAAATGTAATTTGATAGATTCAGTTGCTGTCTTACTAAATGTCACATACAGTTAAACTGATGGTGTAAGGGTAGACTTACTGGGCTGGCTAGGGGTTGCTCAAATGACTTCTTCTTTTTTTTTTTTTTTTTTTGAGATGGAGTATCATTCTGACACCCAGGCTGAGGCTGGAGTGCAATAGTGCGATCTCGGTTCGCTGCAGCCTCCACCTCCCTTCCAATGATTCTCGTGCTCAGCCTCCCAAGCAGCTGGGATTACAGGCATGCGCCACCACACCTGGCTATTTTTTTTTTGGAGACAGAGTCTCTCTCTGTCACCCAGGCTGGAGTGCAATGGCATGATCTTGGCTCACTGCAACCTCTGCCTCCTAGATTCAAGCAGTTCTCCTGTCTCAGCCTCCTAAGTAGCTGGGATTATAGGCATGTGCCACCATGCCTGGCTACTTTTTATATTTTTAGCAGAGACGGGGGTTTCAACATCTTGGCCAGGCTGATCTTGAACTCTTGACCTTGTGATCCACCCACCTTGGCTTCCCAAAGTGCTGGGATTAAAAGTGTGAGCCATCAAGCCTGGCCTAATATTTGTATTTTTAGTAGAGAAGGGTTTTCACCATGTTACTCAAATTGGTCTCAGATTCTTGATTTCAAATGATCTGCCTGCCTCAGCCTCCCAAAATGCTGGGATTATAGGCACCACACCTGTCCCCTTCCTTTTTGAAATTGTTGTTGCTCTAAGCTGTCATCAAAAGTCCATATGAAGAAGAGAAATGTCCCAAATGAATATTGGTATTCACTGCTGTTTCGTGTCCTAGAGAAGGAGAGAGAGCAAGGTGTATGAAATTGAACTTTTGGGAAATTATTTAAGGTGGCCTTATAAAAAAAAAAAAAGAATTGTAATTGCAAGATGAATTTGGATTAATACTTCTATTCAAGCTTTCTTTTCAAGTTTCGTTCTGAGGCTAGATCATTTTCTCTAAGTGTAATATGCTGAATTTTTAAAAAACATTTTCTTGAATAAATTGATTTGATTTCACAGTTTATTGAGTATCTTGTGCCAATGCAGAGTTCACATTTTAGGTTATGGATATAAAAGTGATTAGGAAAGCCACAGCCTGTGAAGAAGGTGATGTCGTGATCTTAAATGACCGGCTCTGAATTGCAGTTTGCTGATGTGTTGTGGTGCCACACCAGCTCTCACCTATGCAGTGGGAGACAGGCACTGCTCATGCTCGTTTTTCTTTATTTCACTTTCCTGAAGGATTGGAATACTTTTCTGCTACGGTTCAATGATTTGGACTTGTGTGTATCAGAGAACGAAACGCTAAAGCATCTCACAAACGACACCACAACTCCGGAAAGCACCATGACCAGCGGGCAGGCCCGAGCTTCCACGCAGTCCCCCCAGGCCCTGGAGGACTCAGGCCCGGTGAACATCTCAGTTGCAATCACCCTCACCTTGGACCCACTAAAACCCTTCGGAGGGTATTCCCGGAACGTCACCCATCTGTACTCAACAATCTTAGGGCATCAGATTGGACTTTCAGGTATGTGGTAGTCCCTCTCCATTTAGACTGCTCAGGCAACTGCTGTGACCAAAAGGGGGTGCACCGTGTATGCTTTTACTATGTTGTACTGTATTGTAGTCTTGCACATGTGTCTTTTTTTGTTGGGTTTGGACTATGTGAATCATTTCTACTGCATCTTTACATGTTGAAGCACTTGGTTTGAAGTACTGTCTCCAAAGCCTGTAAGAACGAGAAACCGTGAAAACACTGTAAGGCCTAATATTTACAAACTTGTAATTTTTAGTCAGGCTTATCCTGTTGAAGTTTTCATTGCTAACTTCACATCTTCTATTGCTGTTAGTTTACAGATGTTTTCAGTGGCTGTTGTTAGTCTAGCATTGTGCTAAACTGCTGGGAAGAACTAGAAAATGACTAAGGTGGCTGGGTGCAGTGGCTCATGCATGTAATACCAGCACTTTGGGAGGCCGAGGTGGGTGGATTTCCTGAGCTCAGGAGTTCAAGACTAGCCTGGGCAACATGGTGAAACTGCATCACTACAAAATACAAAAAATTAGCCGGGCATGCAGGCATAGTGGTGCGTACTTGTAGTCCCAGCTACTCAGGGGGCTGAGGAGTGAGAATTGCTTGAATCCGACAGGTGGAGGTTGCAGTGAGCTGAGATCGTGCCACTGCACTCCAGCCTTGGCGACAGAGTGAGACTCCTTCTCAAGAAAAAAGAAAAGAACATGCCTAAGATGGGCCCAGTGCGGTGGCTCACGCCTGTAATCCCAGCACTTTGGGAGGCCAAGGCTGGTGGATCACTTGAAGTCAGGAGTTTGAGACCAGTCTGGCCAACATGGTGAAACCCCATCTCTACTAAAAATACAAAAACATTAGCCGGACATGGTGGTGGGCACCTGTGATCCCAGCTACTCGGGAGGCTGAGGCGGGAGAATCACTTGAATCCTGGAGGTGGAGCCTGCAGTGAGCCAAGATTACGCCACTGCACTCCAGTCTGGACAACAAAGGGAGACTTTGCTTAAAAAAAAAAAAAAAAGGCTAAGATTTGGTCTCTTCCCTTTGGAATTTTGGCGTTATGGAAGAGACAAAGATAAAAAAGAGTTAACAAACATTTATCAAGCACTTATAATAGTTCCTGCCACAAAGGAGATGCTATATAAGTGCTTGATAAGGGATGTGAAAAATACACTTACAAAACATGGTGTTACATGTTTTAAAACAGTACTAAACAGTACTGTTTAGTAAAACATAAAACAGTACTAAACCCGTGATAGACTATAAGTGAATCAGGAGAAGGGCTAGAACGCAGTGGAAGCTGGAATAATCAGGAAAGGCTTCATACAGGAGGCCTGGGCCTTGGAAGAATAACCTTTGATTATTTGGTTACCAGAAGGCTTTTTAAAAAATTCTTTCGTTGGGTGCAGTGGCTCATACCTATAATCTCAGCACATCAGGCTGAGGCAGGAGAATCGCATGAGCTCAGGTGTTGAAAACCAGCCTGGGACTATCTTTATGAAAAATTAGGAAAATTAGCCAGGCATTGTGGCATGCACCTGTAATCCCAGATACTTGCAAGGCTTAGGTCAGAGGATTGCTTGAACCTGGTAGGTTGAGGCTACAGTGAGCTTAAGATTGTACCACTGCATTCCAGCCTGGGCAATAGAGTGAGACCCTGTCTCAGAAAAAAAGCAAGAAACAAATAAAATGTTCTTGAAGGAATTTAAGTGCCCACCAGCCTCCTATTGGCTGATAGAGGTGAGAATATTCCCATGATAATCAAGGTATGGATAACTTCTGGGTTTTCCATATAGCAAGTGGACCTATTTCTTATGGCAGGTCATTAGGACACCTTTGGGTTTTT